TATCTTAAAATTTTCCCTGATATAAATCCCCGAGATATAAAATACCTTAAGAAATCCAAAAAATACAGTCGCACGAAGCGTCAAATGCTCAAAAGGTCAGACAATTCTGGATTAACAAATGAAAAAAAAGTCTATCGGGTAAAACAGAGTTTAGAAAGAAGAAGAAGAAGAAGAAGAAAAGAATAGAGACTGTTAAATCGAGTTGCTCGTTCTTTCCTTGAAGCTGGAGCCGGTGGAAATCCCGTAAAATTAACGCTCATTACGATGGGGAACGGGCACGAGGGAAATTTCTACACAATGGAAGGCACGGCGAGCGGCTCTCTCGATAAATTCTCGACCGGAGAAGACCAATAAAGAAAACGACGCGCTGGCTCACGACAATTTGGCAGATATGGGGCAGCGATGTCCACCGGTGGAAAGCGGGGCGACGCGAGCGTAGAGCGGTGCTCGCTCGTTAGCGCAGAATTTCTGAAAGTAGGTAGGCAGAGAGGCTAACCGGCCTATTCTACCTAATATAGCCCGCGAGTCGCGACTTTTGTCCGTGCGCAATCACATCCGGTACTGTCGATCTGCAGATTTGTCCACTCCTTCGTCACGATTCGCCACTTGTCCTCGCGTCGCCATCCCGCCATTTCGCTATTTCCTTGTTGTACTGCGAATTCCGTCGTGTAATTTCGAGTGTTTGTGAACGCAACTGAGGAAACATAGCCTAGGCAGAAATCTACTTCCAACACCATCGACGAGATATATGAATAGACCAAGCATCTTACGGGATTTCGTGACCTGAAATATCGACATGGTAAAGGATCGCTGGTTTTTTTGGCGCACTCTACGTACTCTTTAAACAACGGTGAGTTGGGAAACTAGTGGATGCGCCAGCAATATGATTTTTTAAACCAATACCGAAATGTAAAGCTCGTCTGTAACTATACCAAGTAAAATGACTATACAAGCAAAACGTTTAATTGTATCTCCAGATTCCAAGACACGAGATTAGTATCTAAAATTATTCCATTATGTACTTGTGTGCGTGCCTTTCGTTGGAAACGATATAATTTCTGTTGACGTGTATCAAATGCTAATTTATAAGTCTGTGACATATAATACTAATACTTTGTCTGTCTATTTTCGAGATTGGCGGACATTTAGAAACCAATGTGTATTAAAAAAATATATCAAAATGAGCAGGTTAAAGAAAGAAAAAACAAGAACGATTGACCAGGCGGTGTATCAGCGCCAATTTGCCAGCGTCGTTTCGATCAATAACTTCGTGCACGATGTGTATGCCGGGACGAAACAGGAATTATCCGTCGTTAAACGACGGAGCGGTCTCGCGGAGCGAAAGGTTGTCGAATGTTGCGCCGAGTGAATTACCTACCGGGCAAGTAATTCGATAGAGCTCGTTACACCCGAGCCTTGTATCCAATTAAACCAGCCTAGGCTCTCTTTCTCGTCTCCCTCGTTCTCTCGTCCCGTCCATTTTTCGCTATCGCGCGACTTCTGATTCGTGACTTTTCCCGTGTGTGTGTACGAACGAGTGCACCAGCGAGACCGTGTGCAAGCCTCAACCGATGCCGGCCACCACGCGACGCATCCGTAATCGCCGTATCAACCGAGCCGATAACAAGGTTACGCGCGTGTGCTCCGCCCGTAATAGCAATAATTTCTCGCCAAGTAACGACCGTCCCGAACCGTATACGGAAAGGGACGTCCAACGGGCTGGGGAACCGCTCCTCAGCCGGACAACACGCTCGTAAATATCGTTCCGCGGTCTTCCACGCGGTCTTAACTGGTCCGCAGGATTTTCGTTTCCGGGGAAATCGCAGCGGATGAAGATTGATTTACGGGTGGTCGCTGCTTGCTTTTAATGGTTAACTTCTTCCGATAGTTTGCAAGTATTTTCAACAGCAGGTTGCTACGGAGTAACATAAATTTTTATCGTTATTGATCCTCCGTGGTCGAGTTACTCTTCTTGGGATTACCAATTTTAAGAATATTTCCTAGTCGCAAGATGATGCCTGTAACTTTGAAGACGAATTTTGAATGCCGCCACTGTGGCATTTTAAATGGCACAGAAATTTACTTTAGAATCGATAAGCTTAAGCTCATTTATTAATCAGTTCATTTAATCTTTTAAAGTTGAACGACGTGCATCCAAATTTTTATTGTTAATAATCCTTTCATGGTCGGTTTATTCTTCTGACATGCTTCTTGATGTTATCATTCAGAATAAATGAAAGGATTTCTTGGTCGCAAGGTAATACTGTGCTCATCAGTGTTCGATCATAAATTTTAAATGATCGAGGACTAACGAATTATAATTTTTGTTCGACTTTTTACAGATGCAAAACAATGTTTTAATGATTTCTCGTAAAATGTATAAATGAAAGCTTGTCTACTCCATTGTGCTGTAATTGTTCCTCTATTTCCTTCAACACGTTCCGTCTGCCAAGCCATTTTTGCCTTTTGTTGTCGTTCAGGCCATTTGATATTTTGACGAAGCCATTTTTGCCTTTTGTTGTCGTTCAGGCCATTTGATATTTTGACTAAAATGTTGATATATTATCACACAATCTTTCGTTCACATCATCAATCGATAAGTAGTTCTCTTGTGTAGTTCTCTAGAGTAGTTCTTTAGAGTAGTTATCACATCGTGGTACACGTGTCCTGAAGGTCAAGTTTAACG